ATTTGTATATTGATGGGGTTCATCTAGTTTGTGTTTTTGTAATTGTTTACACAATTTATCATTTATGTAGTTTCCATTGGCTCCTGTATCAATTAGTATATTTATAGGAGAAAACTTTGTTCCATCAAAATATTCACCTATAATTTTATAGTTTTATATATTATCCTCTCGGGGTATCAATATAGGATTAAATCTTTGTGATAACTGAATCCTGGTTATCACTTGAGGTAATTTATACGTGATTATTTATTATGTGTTTACGTGAAAGCATGATGAATTATTATATTAATTATGTGAATCATGTATTTTATGCATAGGAAATATGTATGCATGATATGRRTACATRCATGARATTGTATGTATGTAAAGTATGYATGATTATATGTATACATGAGAAAGTAAAATATGTGAAAATGCATGGTATTATAAGATGCATGAAAAGTTTATCATGCATGAGGTGATGCATGGGTGAGGTGTGTAAGAAGAGGCTTTAATAGCCGACTTTCCTATTAAGGAAAGGTATAAAAGGGAGGGCTTAGCCTCCATTTCTCTTCTTCTTGCCATTTTGAGTGATTGAGAGATTTAGAAAGTGAAGTCCTGACCGGATTATTCCTGGATTGAAGATCAAATTGATTTCAATTGTTTGATTTTAAAAGGCTTTCAAGGTGACCGATTTATACTGCTTTTAAACTCTTCATAGTTGTATAACTGATAGTAGAAACTTTACTCTTGATTTAAAAGTTAAACTTTGAAGTGTTATCCGGAATAGGCTTAAACCGGCCAAGAGTCAGGCGATTTAGCCATAAACCGGACAAAGGCTAGGCGATTTAAGCCTTGAACCAGATAAAGCATGAGCGATTTACAAATAAACCACTTGGCAAGTGTTGTTCGGATTAGATCTAAACCGGTCAAGGCATAAGCGGTTTAAGTCTTAAACCGGACAAGGGTTGGGCGATTTAAGCCCAAAACCTGTCAAGGCATAAGCGGTTTAGCCTTAAACTGGACAAGTGTTGAGTGAGTTATGAATGTTAGGTTTATATTTAACATTTTAAACGGAGAAGTATGAATACGATCATGTGTTGACCGGATTATTTTAAATCGGACAGGCCTGGGGTGATGTACAAATCCGGACAAAAGTGTTGAAATTCTCTTAAGTGTTAAATCGGACAAGCCTTGGGCGATATGTTGTCCTGATTTGGTAAATCGGCCAAGACTTGACCGGAGATGAAGTCCGGCCAAGTCTATTTTGACCGGATTTGTATTATGCTATATTTATGGTTTATATATAATTGTTTTTATAAATATAAATGGGAATTTTAATAAAGATGATTTTGAACTGATAAATCCATTGACTGCGGTCTAAATGGAATTGTTTTGTGAAATGTTTTGATGAGGAAATAAGGGTGGCATATCAAGGAGAGGTGTACCGTGGGATAAGAGTGACATATCAAAGAGAGGTGTACCATGGGATAAAGGTGGAATATCAAGGAGAGGTGTACATTTGGATATAAGAGTGGCAATTGTATGTGTGTGTTATATAATATAACTCTTACTATCATATCTCTTAAGATTATTGTGGTCTGAAATCTTTATTTCTTTGTGATTTAAAGATTTAGGAACATGGTTCTTATTGGAAATCATAGTCTGAATGTTATAGAGAAGGGGATCAAAGGTTTGTCCCGAAACTTTGTATAAACCTTGTTTGAATAGAAAAAGATTTAAAAGTGGCACTATGTTAATTTGGTTAATATAAACCTGTTTAGAGTTGATGTATTATTTGCAAGCAAAGGTTATTGGCCTGGAAGGTGAAAGGTATTAATATTGTGTTCTCACTTGTTCATATATTTGATATATATATATATATATATATATATGAAAAGTTGTTTTATTTAAAAAGTTTTGGTGATTATCACCCTGCAATGTCATAAATAGGGTAACTCACTAGGTCTTTCGGTCTAATCCTCGTTTTGTGATTTTAAATATGTATTGCAGATGGTGCTGACGGTAAGGGAAAGGGAAAATGTAAAATTTCTGACGGATGCCGAGTCCACCAAATAATAAATTCCAACTACAAGCTAAATTACAACCAAAATTGTAATAGCGGTAAGTCGGGTCGAATCCATAGAGACTCGGTTTAACTTACTATGTCTAGAAAAATCAAATACAAAGCGACGACTTAAAAGTAATTAAAAAAAGGGGGGGGGGGGTTGGATTTGATTAATTAGACTAAACATGCGATTAAAATTTATTATAAACAATGAGAACGAAATCCAACATTAGATCACTCTCGATGATGATGTAAATACTTATCAGCGATCTCGCAAACGTAAAAAGATAGGACAAGCTCAAGTCGGGTATGGTTATCAACAAGCTCTGACAACCTTCATTTTCGCCTAACTAGGTATTAGCTAAAATCAGTTCTTTAGCTAAATCTTAACTACAAGTGGAACAATGAACAAGCTCTCAACATCCCAAACATAATTAGCTTTAACGAATTAGAAAACACCGACTCAAATAATTAAGCTCATATGCTCGGCTTAATATCACTTTGATTATGAGATTTCAAGAACTAAAATTGAAAACTTTATTGAATTCAAAAAGTTCCATTGTTACCCTATCAAAGCCACAAGACAATTACGTATTTAAGGTTTTGAATAACAAGCATTCATAGGATTGTTAACTAATCGGCCAATTTAATTAACGTTCAAATGAAATTAACGATTAACCTAGAAATCACACAAATAAACTTGTCCCAAACAATTACAACGACATCTCAAAGTAGGAAAACATCAAAATCTAAAGTTATCTAATGTTGGAATAGATAAATTAGCAACACATATCTAAACTAGGTTACCGATTTTAAAGATTTTTAGGATTTATCGTAAGAATTTGACGATAAAAACCCTCTTCTCCATTCGATCCTCCCTTCTGTTTTTCCCAAATCGAGACCTAGACGATGTGTTTTTGCTTTCTCCCCTCGATCGCCCGTCGTGTTGCTGCCTCTCCCGCTCGATCGCACATCGTGTTGCTCTTTCTCCTGCTCCCTGTTTTCTGTAATCGCCCCACGTCCCGTTGCCGTACTCCTCTCCTTGAAAACTGCTTGCTGCTGGATTAAATTGATGTTGGACTCCTCTGTTGGTGGGCTGTTGCAATTGGGTTTTATTTTACTTTTTTTTGTTGGGCTGTGTCTTTTTTATAGTGCTGTAAAAACAGCCCCTGTTTTGGCTTCTTCTCTTTGATCGAATATGCTGCTATAAAAGAGAACCCTTACACTTAGTTGGGTCCTATTAGTCTAGAAATGTACTAATTAAGAGTGATTTGATATTAAAGATATATAAAATAAAATCATTTATCAAATACCCCCTCACTTAGATCATTGTCCGTCCCGGCAATGACTTAAGTTAGCACGTAGTTATAAAAAAAATAATGAATCAAATGAGAACGTCAACGTGTATAGAATATCATGAACTTAAGAGTTGCGACTTAGCTTCAATTAGAGGGTCTACCCAATTAAAAAGGCACAAGCTAATCTCAAGAACTCTCACGAATAGGATTAACAAAATGACACTGAATTCACTCCTTAGGCTAAAGTGTATCGATCAAACTGTCATTACACTAGCATATACCTACCATATGCTTGAAAAGTCTCTCACCCTTCATTACTTGGATAAAATACATGCGTATAAATCAAAAGGTCTTAACAGGTGTATTGAAAAACAAGGCTTTGGGTACGGTAGGGAAATATTTAGGAAAAGTGACTAAGACCTAACACCAATAGAGAATCCGGCTGCTCAACCATACTTTATTTTATTTTTCACAAAGGACTTTTGTATCTATCTTTGAAGCTCGTTCCTTTTTGGACGATAGAGAATAGAGATGAAACGCTTATATTCAATCGTATCGTCATTTTTGTCCTTTTTTTTGACGACATAATTTTTCTCTTTATATATATTTTCTTTTTGAATTTTCTGTTTTGTTTTTTTTTTCTTTCAATCTTTCCTTTCATTTTTTTTATTTCCCTCCCCAACATACAAATTCTACTTTCAAATATAAAGGGATATTAGGATCACTCCATTGGTGCTTAGTCGGGTGAGTCGTGTTTGGATTGGTTTATGATGTGGACGACAAACGAAATAGGCTAAGGCTCAAAGTGGTGTGCAAAAGGTTAAAAATGACATAAAAGGGTAAGCTAAAGGCCAATGGTTTAACAAAAAAAAAAAAATAATAATATGAGCAAACAATGGCCTTTATCATATTTATTAGAATGTAAATATCATGTAATCTTAAGGAGAGACAAGTCAAATTCTAGAGGCACATAACTAGGCATGACGCAATCACACAAGAAATGAAATTGAGACTAATATCGAGTGTTTTAGTCTAATAGGCTCAAAGTCTCACGGTAGTAAAATTGTTAAAGAGATTAGCAAGAGTCTAACTTCAACCGGTATATTACCACTATTCAACTCTAAGCGCTATCAATCAAACTCAATCATGGTATACATGCATCCAAACTCATCATCATCAATAGTTAAAGCCATAAAAAAACATGCCAACACGTTGTCAAAACGGACAAAAATTCACATTTAAGCATTTACCCTGAAAAACATTTATCTACCCGAACCATGCCAAAACATTGTCAAACCCAAAAATTTGACATCCCACCCCCACACTTAGATCATACATTTGTCCTCAATGTATTCGATAAAGCAAAGGATATTCAAAGCAATCAGATAATGAGGGGAAACAGTAAACTCCCCTGATTTGGTGAATAGTCCTCTAATGTATAAGTTTGTGCAGGTAGATACGTCCTTTTAGCTCCAAATTTCAAGGTGAAACCTGAGAATAACCAAGGGAGGCGCAAAAGTAAAGAGGAGGCTCTAACGAAACTAAAACATATGCAAAAAAAAAAAAAAAAAAAAAAAATTGAAATAAATTGAAATCCATGGGTTGCCTCCCATGCAGCACCTTTCTTTAACGTCTTTGGCTAGACACCTTCTTGTCTAAGTGGATCCTCCCTCCGGCACCTCCATCTTGAAAACCTCCACATCAAGAGGTTTAAAACCTTCATAAAATGGCTTTAAACGGTGGCCATTAACTTTGAACACTTTTCCCGTTTTCTCACTTTTAATCTCTATTGCACCATGACTAAAAACATTAGTAACAACAAATGGTCCCACCCACCGGGACCTAAGTTTTCCAGGAAATAACTTGAGTCGAGAGTGAAAAAGTAAGACCTTTTGACCTAGAACAAATGTCTTACGAGAAGACATTTTATCATGAAAAACTTTGGTCTTTTCTTTATATATAGAACTACTCTCATACGCATCATTGCGTATCTCTTCCAATTCTTGGAGTTGGAGTTTTCGGTGAATACCGGCTTTGTCAATGTCCAAGTTGACATTTTTCACGGCCCAAAAGGCCTTATGTTCCAACTCAACGGGAAGATGACAAACTTTCCCGTACACTAAACGAAAAGGGGACATACCTATCGGGGATTTGTAGGCGGTCCGATAAGCCCATAATGCATCATTGAGCCTTAAACTCCAATCTTTCCTACTTGGGTTTACCGTTTTTYCCAAAATTTGCTTGATCTCCCGATTCGACACCTCCGCTTGCCCATTTGTCTGTGGGTGGTAGGCGGTAGATATACGGTGCTTTACACCATACTTTTTGAATAAAGCCGCCATCACACTGTTGACGAAATGAGTGCCCATATTGCTTATCACCACTTTCGGGACTCCAAATCTGCAGAAAATCTTATCTTTCACAAAATCTGAAACATCTTTTGCACTGTCAGTCCTTGTCGCTTTCGCCTCTACCCATTTWGAGACGTAATCGACAGCAAGTAAGATGTAATAGAAACCAAAAGAACATGGGAAAGGGCCCATGAAATCAATCCCCCACACGTCGAAAATCTCGCAAGCATGAATGGGGGTCAAAGGCATTTGATCCCTACGACTAAGATTTCCGGTGTGTTGGCAACGAGGACAAGCTTTACAAAACATATATGCGTCTCGATGAATATGTGGCCAAAAGAGGCCACTCTCGAGAACCTTACGAGCTGTCCTTGTTGGGCCAAAATGGCCACCGCATGCATGAGAAGGACATAATTCTAAAATAGAGGTTACCTCATCATTACCTACACATCGTCGGATGATTTGATCAGACCCTTTCTTCCACAAGTAAGGATCATCCCACATGTAGTATTTGGAGTCACTCTTTATCTTGTCTCTCTTCGAGCTCGGTAGCTCTTTAGGTGTGGTCCCGGTGACTAGGTAGTTAACTATGTCGGCATACCAAGGAACTGTGGTCTTCACCTCAAAAAGGTGCTCATCTGGGAACTTGTCATCTAACGGTAACGGCTCTTCATTGGAGACAATCCGGCTCAAGTGATCTGCTACTAAATTCTGYGTTCCACTTTTGTCTCTAATCTCCAGGTTGAATTCTTGGAGCAACAAAATCCATCGTATGAGCCTTGGTTTGGTATCCTTCATTGTCATCAAATACCACAACGCTGCATGATCTGTAAAAACAATAACTTTAGTACCTAAGAGATATTGACGAAAATTTTCTAATGCAAAGACAACCGCAAGCAATTCCTTCTCCATGGTGGAGTAGTTTGCTTGCGCACTATCGAGGGTTCTCGAAACATAATAAACAACGTGCGGGTTCTTTCCAACCCTTTGCCCGAGTACCGCTCTGATAGCATAGTTGCTCGCGTCACACATAATCTCAAAGGAAAGATCCCAATTCGGTGGTCTCATAATGGGGGCGGATGTAAGCATCTCTTTAAGCTTATCAAAAGCTTCCTTGCATATCTCATCAAACTTGAACTCCACATCCTTTTGAAGTAGATTGCACATCGATCGGGTAATGCATGAGAAATCCTTAATGAAGCGCCTATAGAAACCTGCATGACCCAAAAATGATCGGACTTCCCTCACCGAAGTGGGGTAGGGTAAGATTTTTTATAACATCTGCTTTAGCTCTATCTACTTTAATACCTTTATTCGAGATAAGATGTCCTAAAATTAGCCATTGGTTTACCATAAAATGATATTTTTTATAATTTAAAACCAAGTAGGTCTCTATGCATTGTTGAAGAATTTTAATGAGATTTTCTAAACATTCATCAAAGGAGTTCCCATAGACGGTGAAATCGTCCATAAAAACTTCAATGATGTTTTCCATAAACTCAGAAAAAATACTCATCATACACCGCTGGAAAGTAGTCGGTGCATTGCATAGGCCAAAGGGCATTCGGCGATAGGCGAAAGTGCCGAAAGGACATGTAAACGTGGTTTTCTCTTGGTCTTCCGGTGCAACCGGAATTTGATGAAAACCAGAGAAACCATCTAAACAAAGATAATGAGACTTACCTGCCAGTCTCTCGAGCATCTGGTCGATAAAAGGTAGAGGGAAGTGATTTTGCGGGTTGAGGCGTTCAACCGTCGGTAATCTATGCATACCCTCCAACCACTTTGTACTCTTGTTGGAACCATCACTCCCTCGGCGTTTTCCACTACTGTCACCCCGACCTTCTTTGGAACAACCTACACCGGGCTCACCCATTTGCTATCAGATATAGCAAATATCACACCTGCATCCAGCAACTTTTGAATCTCTTTCTTTACAAACTTCATCATGGATGGATTCAACCTCCTTTGAGCCTCGCGGAACGGCTTGAAGTCATCCTCCATCAAAATCTTGTGCATGCAAGTTGATGGGCTCAAGCCTTTTATGTCGGCTATCGTCCACCCAATGGCCTCCTTGAATTGTTTTAGCATGGAAACAAGCTTCTTTTCCTCGGATGAGTCTAATCTACTTGAAATGATGAGTGGTAGCTTCTCTCCTTCTCCTAGATATGCATACTTGAGATGCTCGGGAAGTTTCTTTAATTCTAGTTCCGGTGCCTGCAAAACGGAAGGAAATAGCTTTTTGTTAGATGGTGGTAACAAAACTTGAGCTATATCATACCTTGACATCTTCTTTTGATCCATAAAAGCTACTAGCTCGTGAAACTCGGGTCTGAGCTCAATCTTCTTCATGATTTTGGTTATTCTTGCTTCATTCAAAGATCTACTCAAGATTGTGTCTAAAGCATCAAAATGTGTTAGTTCAAACAACTCTTGAGAAATAGGTTCAATAATGTCAATGGTACATAGAGAGGATACATCACTTGGAAAACGCATGGCTTCATAGATATTAAAATGGATCATGTTACCATCAAATTCCATGGAAAGTGTGCCATTGTGAACATCTATATTTGTTTTCGAAGTTTTCAAAAATGGCCTCCCTAACAAGATGGATGTGGATTTTGGATGTGAATTCTTCTCCATATCAATGACATAGAAATCAGCGGGGAAAACAAGTTCATTCACTTGAACCAATAAATCCTCTAATACCCCTTTCGGGTGTACAAGGGACCTATCGACCAATTGAATGACCACCCCGGTTTCTTGTAAGGGGCCTACATTTAGAGTCTTAAAGATAGAAAATGGCATCACATTGATAGATGCACCCAAATCAAGCATAGCCCTATTGATTGTAACATTCCCCAATTCGTAAGGAATGGTGAAAACACCTGGATTTTTGCACTTTGGGGGTAGCTTCTTTTGAAGCACGGCAGAAACATTCTCACTCATATTAATAGTCTCGTTACCCCTAAATTTTCTTTTGTTGGTGCACAATTCTTTCAAAAACTTAGCGTAACGAGGGACTTGCTTGATTGCGTCTAAAAGAGGGATATTTACCTCAACCTTCCTACAAGTTTCTAGGATTTCCTTTTCCTCTCTAGCTTTGTTAGACATTTGAAAACGCGTAGGAAAGGGAGGTGGAATTACCTTTGCTTTCTCACTTACATCATCAGTGGATCCCGATTGTTTCTTATCTTGCATCGGTTTCGGGCTTAACTCTTGCTCTTTCTCCACTTCCCTACTCTTTGCCATCTCTGGTTCTTCAAGTTCCTTCCCACTCCTCAAGACAATTTCACTTACATTCTATTTCGGGTTCGTCTCCGTTTGGGAAGGCAACTTTCCTTGAGATTCCAACCGACTCACGGAGGTGGCAAGTTGCGTCATTTGATCTCCCAAATTTTGAATGCTTGCCTCTGTTTTCTGTTGGAATTGAAGAGTATTAGCAGCTAAACTCTTCACAATGTCTTCAAGGGACATACCTGGGATACTAGAAGTAGCTTGATTTGGATTGAAGGGTGCTCTTTGCTGAAACTGTTGTTGTGGCGGCCTTTGCATGAAATTCTGAAATTGAGGAGGTCTTTGGTTGCCAAAATTGTTGTTGAAGAATCTTTGTTGTGGTTGTGGCTAACCTTGATAACCTCCTATAGCGTTCTCATTTTCGGCCGTCACCAACACATCCTCTTGAAGTTGTGGGCACGCATCGGTTGGATGGCCCGTCGCCAAGCATATGCCGCAAGCTTTCACCTGTTCTTTATCAACTACAAGCTGTTTAACCAAGTTAGTAAGATCAAACAAACGACTCTCAATGCTCGCGACGTTTATCTCATTGGCCTTTGTGGGCTCTCTCCTCATATCATTCCTCACACTAAATTATTGGGAATTCTCGGCCATGGTAGTGATTAGAGCTCTAACCTCGGTTGGGGTCTTATTGAACATGGCACCGCCACTAGCGGCATCAATCATCTTCCTATTCATAGGTAGAAGACCCTCATAAAAGTATTACAAGAGCAATTGTTCCGAGATTCCATGTTGTGGACAACGCACACAGAGATGTTTGAATCTCTCCCAATATTCATGGAGAGTTTCAACATCTCGTTGCTTAATGCTACAAATCTCTCTATGGATGTTAGCGGCTCAGGAGGCGGGAAAGAATTTGTCTAGAAATAGCCTCGCCATTTGGTTCCACGTCGTTACCGAATAAGAAGGTAATGAGTATAACCAATCAGTAGCCCGATCCTTTAAAGAAAAAGGAAAAGCCTTTAACTTTATAAGGTCCTCCGTAACCTCAGCCGATTTCATGCTCAAGCAAACAATATGGAATTGCTTTAAATGCTTATTAGGGTCCTCATTCTCTAACCCGTGATATGTAGGTAAGAGATTGACCAAGCCAGTCTTAAGAACAATGTTTTGATTACCTGTCGGATACCTGATACAAATTGGAGTTTGAGCAACGTCTTGGGTTGCCAATTGACGTAAAGTCTGTTCATCGGCCATGTTGACCTTCAGATTTTCCTCCTCTTCTTCCTCAGATTCCGTCTTTAGTTCCTCTACTTCGCTTTCAGACTCGGATGGTAATTCAATATCCTTCCAGATGTTGATTACCGGTGAACTTGAAGATTTGCCTTGCGCCTTCCGAAGCCTAGCTAGCTTCCTGAATCGCTTGGCTGTCCGTTCGATTTATGTGTCTATAGGAATAGGTGTACCAATACGTGAAGATCTAGGCATAAACTGTTAGAAACACCGAGTCCCCGGCAACGGCGCCAAAAATTTGACGGATGCCGAGTCCACCAAATAATAAATTCCAACTACAAGCTAAATTACAACCAAAATTGTAATAGCGGTAAGTCAGGTCGAATCCACAGAGACTCGGTTTAACTTACTATGTCTAGAAAAATCAAATACAAAGCAACAACTTAAAAGTAATTAAAAAAAGGGGGGGGGGTTGGATTTGGTTAATTAGACTAAATATGCGATTAAAATTTATTATAAACAATGAGAACGAAATCCAACATTAGATCACTCTCGATGATGATGTAAATACTTATCAGCGATCTCGCAAACGTAAAAAGATAGGACAAGCTCAAGTCGGGTATGGTTATCAACAAGCTCTGACAACCTTCRTTTTCGCCTAACTAGRYATTAGCTAAAATCAGTTCTTTAGCTAAATCTTAACTACAAGTGGAACAATGAACAAGCTCTCAACATCCCAAACRTAATTAGCTTTAACGAATTAGAAAACACMGACTCAAATAATTAAGCTCATATGCTCGGCTTAATATCACTTTGATTATGAGATTTCAAGAACTAAAATTGAAAACTTTATTGAATTCAAAAAGTTCCATTGTTACCCTATSAAAGCCACAAGACAATTACGTATYTAAGGTTTTGAATAACAAGCATTCATAGGAYTGTTAACTAATCGGCCAATTTAATTAACGTTCAAATGAAATTAACGATTAACMTAGAAATCACACAAATAAACTTGTCCCAAACAATTACAACGACATCTCAAAGTAGGAAAACATCAAAATCTAAAGTTAWCTAATGTTGGAATAGATAAATTAGCAACACATATCTAAACTAGGTTACCGATTTTAAAGATTTTTAGGATTTAYCGTAAGAATTTGACGATAAAAACCCTCTTCTCCAWTCGATCCTCCCTTCTGTTTTTCCCAAATCGAGACCTAGACGATGTGTTTTTGCTTTCTCCCCCTCGATCGCCCGTTGTGTTGCTGCCTCTCCCGCTCGATCGCACATCGTGTTGCTCTTTCTCCTGCTCCCTGTTTTCTGTAATCGCCCCACGTCCCGTTGCCGTACTCCTCTCCCTGAAAACTACTTGCTGCTGGATTAAATTGATGTTGGACTCCTCTGTTGGTGGGCTGTTGCAGTTGGGTTTTATTCTACTTTTTTTTTTGTTGGGCTGTGTCTTTTTTATAGTGCTGTAAAAACAGCCCCTGTTTTGGCTTCTTCTCTTTGATCGAATGTGCTGCTATAAAAAGAGAACCCTTACACTTAGTTGGGTCCTATTAGTCTAGAAATGTACTAATTAAGAGTGATTTGATATTAAAGGTATATAAAATAAAATCATTTATCAAATTCCCTATATGTATATCTATGTGAAGATTTGACTATGTTATGTATAGTTTTGTTAGCCGAACATGAAACAGTACACGATTTGTATTTTGATATTTTCGACCATGTATTATGTACTGGTAATTCTTGTACTAAGGGACCTATGTGGTGTATAAATATGTATTTCTATGTATGAAGTATATGTTACATGAAATGTGTGGTAAGGGGTGTTACAGAAAGTGGTATCAGAGCATGATTTTAAGGGATTTAGGTATTCAACAGCATGATACCTAGACTTAAACTGTTTTATTGCATGTTAAGGGTCCCAGACATAGTTAGCACCATTGAAAATAAATATGATGGGTTGAAAGAACAGTGTGTAAGGAAAATTTTAATTACATTTGGCCAGTGTAATTATGAATTTACAGGTACACATCTGAACTTAAATACTTCATTATATTTGAGAATGTGAATTCGTGATTTTTAACACTAAAACCTGCAAATGTTTAGCCGAACTAGAACATTTGAAAGAACGGCTCGTCCAAAATCTGAAGAAAGAAAAGAATCACATGTTAATCTTCTGACTGGTACATCTGGAATTAGAGGTCAGGGAATACCAAGAGGACGAGGCAGAAGAAGAAGTCAGTCTCAAGGAAGGGGTCGTATTGAAATTCATTCTGAACCTGAAGAATCCCATTCTGGGAATGTTCAGGAGAGATCGGTGCCACACCCGGAATATGTAACCAGGGATATGTTGGCAGAAAGGAAGGGAAAATTGTGGGAAACTCTGACTTCTATCATGGGAGTACCAGCCACGGTAGAAACAGAAAGAGTAGAAGTTCATCCCTCGGTACAGATTACTCATAATAAGGAAGGAGATATCAAAATGTTTTTGGCATGCAAGCCACCAACATTTTCACGGGAAAGGGATCCAGTAAAAGCTATGTGCTGTATCAAAGAAATGGAATATGTGTTCAACACCATTAGGTGTCTGGAAACAGATAAAGTACGATTTGCTCTTCCAGTCCTGAAATCAAATGCTTTGTTATGGTGGGAAGTTGAATCATCGGCCAGAACGAATGTTTTACAAACATTGTCTTGGACAAAATTTGTAGACCGATTCAAGAAACAGTTTTGTTCTAAGACGACAGTTAGACAAATGGAAGAAGATTTCTTAAAGCTGGAACAGGGAAATGGAACAGTTCGGGAGTATACTGAGAGATTTATTGAATACTCTCGATTTGCCCAACACTATGTTTCATCCGAACCCAGGAAGATAGAGAGATACATCTGGGGTTTGAAACCCTCAATCAGAGAGTTTGTAATTGCCATGAACCCAAATACCTTTTCATTAACGGTAGATGCGGCCGAAGTGACCGAACAAAATAAGAATCGGCAGCCAGAAGGAAAAATTGTAGAGAAAAGAAAGTGGGAGGGGCCTTCATCAAATTTTCGAGGGACGAAAACTATAAGATATGATAACAAACCTGAGCAAAAGGTCGGTAAGAGAGTTTGCACGCAATGCCGACAGATACATCTGGGTGAGTGTAAGACAGACCCAAGAAAGTGTTATAAGTGTGGTGAAGCAGGCCATCTGTTCAGAAGTTGCCCAGCTAACCGAAGGTGTTTTAACTGCAATTCTCCGGATCATATTCGACCGAATTCTCCATTGTTAAGAACTTCGCAGTAGGGGAGTAACGCATCGGGTACTGGGGGAAGGCCTATGGTAAACAGAGGAGGGCAAGGAGGGGCACGGGGGTGGTCCTTCCAAATGACAAAAAACGAGGCAGAGGCGTCACCAGATGTAGTAACAGGTACCTTCCTTCTGAATTCAATACATGCTAAGGTGTTATTTGACTCTAGTGCAAACTTTTAGTTTGTATCCCCATTATTTGCTCAAACTTCATGTTTGAATTCTGTGTTATGTTAGGATCAAATTGATCCTAATTATTATAAAAAGTTTTATTAAGCAATCGGGGCTAAGGATGGAATACCCAAAGATGCTGTTGAGCTTAAAACGTCTATCCTCTGGTTGGTCTATCCTCTGGTTGGTCTAACCTTTGGTTGGTCTATCATCTGGTTGGTCTAACCTCTGGTTGGTGTATCCTCTGGTTGGTCTATCCTCTGGACGACTATCTTCATAATCTTAAAGGATGATGCTGATCCCCATTTTCGATAAT